TGACGAAACTCGACGAGGAATACCTAAAAATATTACACACATGTTTCTTTCGGTAGCAAAGTTCGTGTCTGCGGGGTTAAATTATCCTTTGTCGTTGGGGGTTGCAATTTAGTCGAATGAAGTTAGAAACGACTACAGTTCAAACGAGATTGTAGAAAAATTGCATGGTTTTTTAAATGAAAATAATTTTTTTTTAATATTTCTTGTATAATACTTTTCTAGAAACCCATTACTTGTCTCATTTCCTAATAATTTTCCAAAATAGATTTCGTTTCATATTCACTCATACATTTTCAGAAGAACTACATAAAACATTGCATAAAAGTATTACGTTATATAATTCCTCATAAAGAATTATGTAACTTCCATGTATATTATTTTCTGTCTACTATATTGATTTACCACCCCCATCTTTGGAGGGTAATTCATCGCCATAAATGGGAATTTCTACCACTAAAAAACACGATTGTAATATTATTAGATATTCCATGATACTTGAGTTTCATTGGTGTACAACACTTACTATTAATTTAATTTCTAATAAAATACATACATAAATTACACACCAAAGTATTAAACAAACAATTGTGTTTAGATCAACCCTGCGTTCAGATTTCAAATTATTAATAATTGCTTTATTTATATTAAAAGTTAGTGTACAATGCTTTCGATTAACTCTGAGCTTACATTTTTTGCAACAAATTATTAGCAGCGAGCTGAAAGTCTCAACAATGGCCACCCGATATAGGAACCAGAACGTTGAACCGCGCTCGCGACTGGTTTATTTGTTCTAATTTAATTCGCAAGAAACAATCGCCGGGGGCAAAATTGGAAAACACAGGGAAAGATTGAGCTGTTTGAATCCGCGTCTATTAACTGCAGCCCCGTGTAACGAGCAACTTGTGGACCGGTGCATTATTGTGCAGAAACAGAGCATCGAGAGCTAATTGACTTCCTCTGTTTTAAACAATATTTGCATGTAATCGTTCCGCTGTTTGTGCATAATAAAATTCTTACCCCGAGCAACGGTGATCGGTATTATTGTCATTATTGATGAACGTTTATTGTGTAGTATCGTACAAACTCCATTGGATATTGATTGCACGAAAGAATTTCTCCAACGTATGAAATATTATCATTTCAAAATATTTTTGTTTCGAAGAGTCTGATATAGATTATTCTTAGGTAATTCGGAACAACTTTATGATTTTTAGTTTCTTATGCTCTCGTATTAATAACTCGTTCTAGTTAACTGAGACTACGAATTAATTCCAGTAATTAATATTGCTTTATCTCTTCGCAGAAAAGAAATGGTCTTTAGAATCAAGTTACATTTCGTCCTACTTAAAGTATCGCCTTTCTTTCGTATGGAATTTCATGAATTACTTTCTGCAACCCTTATTTTGGATCGCACGAACTGCACTTAAATAATTACATAGAATCAGTCAGACACACATATATATACAGTCAACGACAAGTTTAATTTATTTTCAGTCCAATAAATTTAAACAACGAATCGCAAAGGTATAAATTGCCAGACACTGTCGTTTCAGAGAAACAGTATTTCCAATCGTAACGATCTCCAATGAAACGATATTTCCACTAATGTAACTTTAAATTCTCGTCCAATGTCCCCGCTTTTACAATAATGATTAAAAGAGCCGCTCGCGTGCATGTGTTTACACGCTAAGCGTTTGAAAAATCGAGCGGACCCTTTGAACCGTACGCCATCGCGTCCAAGTAATAGCGGGGCAAGTAAGTGAACCTGCGAAATCCAGTTGAACGTTAAATTACTTTTGTTTATCGCCGGAATTTATCGACGATTTACACGGCCGACCGCGCTCGAAAGAGTAACGCGAGGAACAATTCACCCCTTTTTGATTAATGCAGGAGAGAAACAAACGCGCGGGGCATTCACGGCGCCGTTGTATTATTTAACAAAAACCCTGTTGCCAAAGGAGAAAGAAGGGTGGATGGGAATTTTCAACCGTGGTTCAAAAGAACAAAACGCTTTTTGAAACGAGCCCCCGCGTTATAAAATGCCGAAACGGTGTCAGCGGGCGTGCGTAACAATACGTCTATGCGACGACTGGCCCAGATTCGAGCGAACGCAAGGAATGCCTATGCGAGGGCGTCGAGATATCGCTTTTGGTAAGTTATGAAATTCTTCTCGCGAGTCGCGCCTCCGCATGGATGCTAAATTTAATTTTTATCACTTTCCCCCACCCTCGGGTTGCGCGTAGGGGTGCATCGCGACAGCTTAACTCATTCGCGCTGCAAATTTTTACGGAGTTAACGGGTGTCGATGTTCCTGAAATTTCACCTTCGATGGACTGTCTAAACTGGAATTATATTTTAACTCTTTAACAAACGTAATAAGTTTGATGAAATCTGGTGACAGTGGCCAACGTCAGCTAGCTCGCGAAGTCACATTTACGTGACAGCGGCCGTCAAAGTGTTAATCAGTAGCTGAAGAGAATTATGACTAATAATCGTGGAATATTGGGCGTGAAAACCTGATGAAATTGCTTTTCGAGACTTGGGGAGAAAGCTCGTTAATTCTTTTCCTTCTCTTTATTGTGTCCATATAAGGGATCAATAGATTTTTATATGTAATTTTTGTAATTTTATGTTAGCAAATAATACTTCTAGAGACTGAAAAAGTAGTCGATAAACATTAAATTAAGGGTACTCGTTGTACCTTATTGCATGTAAAAATTAGTTGAAAAGAATACACTGTTACTCGTTAGCGTACTCTCGAGATATTATCGTTTTTCTTTACATCTACCATTTTTTTCTTTTTCATCTTGACAAACCGAAAGAAAAGACAGTAACAATTTAATTTGACATTTTCACTAGTCTTGCATGAAATATTCCTGATTCTCGGGAGCGTACGACAGAAAATAATTCTGCACCCTTCCTGCTAAAAAAGATATGGATACGTAAAGCGACGGAAGAATACCCCAGGCGTTTATCTTCTAAAAGAGGGTGAAATACCGGATATTGTCACCCTACTAGCTCGGTCAAGACAATCCACCCTACTGGAATTCTTCCCGATACTCCATGAATCGCGCGTACGATCGAAGCCATTCGGGCGAAAAACTTTTTCCCTCCCCGAAATTACAAGTACGTACAGGGACGCTAAAAATAAACTGACCGTTTAGGGGAGTCACTGCACCATTTTATCGTCTCCCTTTATCGATCCTTCGTTACCCATTATTTTTCGACGTAATATTCCAAGCATCGAGCCGCCTATTAAATAATCACGCGAGATCGCGACACGCCAAACGCGATGCTCCATTTTACTTACGATGCAAAATAATTAGTTTGTTTTACGAAACTATATCTCTGGATAAAATTGAAACGAGTTGAGGAATGTCAACGACTTCGTTTAACTTATAAACTATGAAAGATAATATTCTTTTACTCAACTCCCATAGTATAATTAAATTTGGTCGTTTGGAGTGTTTATTTGCTGTATTATTTATCTACTATACGTTTGATTTATAATTTTTTCAATTACCAAATTTTACTGTTATGAACCTTGGAAAATACTATAACTAGAAACTTATATTACTTCTGCAAAGGCTATGTTTGTGAAAAGACTAGAAATTAATCACATTATATTTGCAGAGAAATGAAACTTTTCCTTGCAAAGACTTTAAATATCATCAAAGTAAAAACAATCAAGATTACATTATCATAATAAAATTCTTTACAATAATATAATTTGCAGTTTTATAAATATTTGTTTCTTTAAAAAGATTTTCTCGTTGCAATTCTTTAACTGTAATTCAATTTGTTTTTATTTTTTTTACATCGTACTACTTGATATAGATTATAATTATACAATTAGCTACGTTTTGATCGATTACAAATTCCCCTTCTTCCAGGTACACAAATTTTAATAATAATAATAGGTCTTTGAAGATTAAAGCGTTAGAATTGAGCTAGTAGAAAAAATAATAAAATACAAAATACTATTATTAATCTAACCTTCACTTTATTATGTTCGAACGAGTTAAATTGTGATATATCTTGTACTCACTTTTTTCAATTTTAAATTCTCAATTTTATTTATTGTTTAATGTTCATTCCTCAACACTGCAGTACTTTACAACTGTTCTAAGGTTATAGTACATAAAAAATGACCTACCAAGTTTATCTTTCACGAGCAAACCAGAAAAAAATATCGAAAAATGAAAACATCTACATCCACCTCACTCTTCGTACATTCTAATCGATTATGTATCGATCAGGTCTGCCAAGTTTATCTTCTACGAGCAAACTAGACAGAAATATTGAAAACTGACAACATCTACATCCACCTCACTCTTCCTACATTCTAATCGATTATGTATCGATTATGTATCGATCAGAATATACGAAGAGTGAATGGATGTGGATGTTTTCAGTTTTCAATATTGTTGTCTTGTTTACTCATAGAAGACAAACTTGGCAAGCCTTTTTTTATTTACTATACGTCCTCAATTATGCATCGATTATGTATCGATTAGAATTTATGGAAAGTAAGATGGATGTAGATGTTTTCAGTTTTCGATATTCTTTTCTGGTTTACTCGTACAAGACAAACTTGGCAGGCCTATTTTTATTTACTATACGTCTTCAATTATGCACCGATTATGTATCGATTAGAATTTATGGAAAGTAAGATGGATGTAGATGTTTTCAGTTTTCGATATTTTTTTCTAGTTTGCTTGTAGAAGACAAACTGGACAGACCTTTTTCTATGTACTACAACCTCGATACAGTTGTAAAGTAATACAGTGTTGAAGAACAAACATTAAATAATAAATAAAATTGAGAACTTACGAAAAAATTGATGAAAAGTGAGTCCAAGGTTCATTATAGTTGTAAAGTATAATAATATAGCATTGAAGAATGTAGATTAGATAGTAAATAAAGTTCCACGCATCCAAATTGCCATTTGGGATGAATCCCAATGCAACTCTTTAAATCATGCCAGAAAGTTCACCTACCTTGGCGTCCCGACTCTTCATTTCCTGTCTCCTGGGTACCGTGCTCTCCCCATCGGCGTACACAAGGTTCCTAATGAATCCGTTGAACCTTGGCTCGAAGATCACGCTCGGCAGCGCCAGCAGCGTGAGCTTGCTATTGTACCAGCTGGGCATGCCGCCCACGTAGACGTCCGAGTTCCCGGCCAGCTTGCCGAACTCGAACTCCTTGCCGCGGGACGTCGAAACAGCACTGACACCGTCCACGGTCAGCGTGGTGTTCTCGTTCCACCTGGTGATCTGGACTTTGTGCCAGTGACCGTCACCCAGATCGTGGCCGACGGTGACGATTTGCGCGCCGCCACCGAGATTGTATCTCAGCCTCAGCGCGCTCTCGACGAGCTTCACCTCGAAGAAGTCGTACGTGCCGCCGTCGTCCGTGTAAAGCAGCAAACCGTTGCCCTGCTCGGTCTTGAACTCGAACTCCAATGTGCCGTTCAGGCCCGCGTTCCACTTACGGAACTGAGCGTAGCTGGTCGCGGAGCCCTCCAGCACGAACGACATGGCCACCTGGCTCAGCAACACCACCAGAAACGGCAGCAGCGCGGCCACGCTGCTGTTCGCGATCGAGGAATGCATGGTTCGTTCACGTAATCGCAATCGTCGCTAGATACTGAGCATCTGATTGCTCGCAAACACTGTTTCTCGCCTTTACGGCGACGAAAGAACGCCTCGTCCTCAACGGTCGCCCGCGGTTCCTCGTGTTGTCATTACAACGATAGTCCTCGGCTAGTTTGCATTTGTTTACCCGGTTAGGCTGGCGTCGGTGGTCGGCCAGGTGCTATTCTATCGTTGTTGGGTCGGTTCGTTGTGTGTACTCCTTCTCCTAGCCACGTTGTGCCGGTTGCCTTCGCACGTGAGCACGCGTGCGCGGACGGTCCTGCGTGCGTAACCGATGGATATGGAAAGAGAGAGTGACTAGAAGAACATCCGCGCGGAATCGTGGACAAATCCCTTCGCGGTGGTGTGCGCTCTGCGACTTGGGTAAGCCTCTCTTTCTATTTACCAGCCGGGCAACTAGAGTGATAGAAACGAACAGAGGATTCGAGAGTTTAGCACGAAGTCAAGGTTGCTCGTAGGTATGTCCCTCGCTTTGGTGATCGTCACATTCTTGAACGTGGGCCCGACGACACGTGACACGCTGGGACCATAACGCGCGTATGTACACTCGGGTTTTACCTTATTCCTCGCGGGAGAGTATCACTTCACAATCACGTTACGCACAATTTGGCTCTGACGAATCTTGCACTGGATTGCGGTCTGATGAACTCACTTTCCAATAATCAGATCGACCGTACGTTGTTTGCGAGATTACGGTCAGCCGGATCGACGTGCAGCCGGAATTTTCTCATCGAGATCATATTCGGTGCACAGGAATCGCTGATCCGTTGCCTCTGTTTGCCCTTACGTTCTCCCCCGAGCAAACATCGATAAACAAATGTTCCTCGATTCGACGCCTTTCGATTCGACGATAACGCGAGGGAAGGCTTGTTATCGCAGGGACTCTAGCAACGACCTAACCTAAGGCACCTCGAGGTGCCTCGTACCACGTCGGTGACACACTTTCTCCCGTCTATCCTCTCGACGTCGTCTCCTCGATTCCCAGCGTCACCCTTTTTCCTTCGAATTCACCGATCACGGTTCAGCCTAATTTCGTTAGGGCCGCGCGATGTCCCGCCGAAATGAGACGATCGGAAATTGGAATATATATATATCTCGATGACACGACCTCGACCTCCTAATACACGGTGACACGAGCACTTTCACCACGCACCCTACGCGATCGACCGATCGTTCGAAAACTATCACCGACGCGAAACGCGAAACCGACCGTCGACCGGCTCTGTTCGATGACCAGGTCAGAGCGACGACGTTTACGTTCACGCGTAAAATCGTACGCGTAACTGTCCGGCCACCCCACTATGGCGCGTGTACTTGACGAAACTTGTATTCGGTCCTCCGCTGGCCGAACGAAATACGCTGGAAAGAGGTTACTCCGCGTCGTCCATCCAGCGTACGTTTATTTCACGATCGATCCGGCACTCGTGGCACGGCGTACGCCCCATTTTTTCCATCCAACCCCGGTGAGTTCCACTGGCAGCCACTGGCACCTGAACGTCGATCAGCAGCCGCCACGAACACCCGCGCACGGTAGGGACGGTCCCAACGCAGAGGGTGTCCGGCGTTCGTTACCTTTGGTCGAAATACGTCGTAGGAGCGTAGCGTGAGCCACCGATTGCGGAGGTGGATCAACCCTCTCGACGGCTCCCGGCTTGATACTGGCCTGGCGGAGAGGAGAACGTTCGGTTGAGACGGTCGGTCGGTTGGCCGACGACGTTGGTGCGACGCCCCCGGCACGACGCCGACGCCTCGCGCCGTTTCGACGCGCAAGCGCCCGCTTAGACGCGGAACGGACAAACACGCGAGAGGAGGAAAAGGGACCGCGGCGGTTGAACGATCGCGGGTCGGAGGAAGACGGACGACCTGGAAGACAAGGTGGAGGAGGATTCCTCGTCGTGTAGTCTGTCTGTTCCGTTGGGTACGCCGCGTACACCGAGGGCCTGTGGTGGTGTACGGTAGCGAGATTGTTCACGGCTACCTTACAGCGTTGGAGAAATACCCTGCCGGCGGGATGCTGGACGCTTGAAAAATTGCTGCCGGAAACCAATGATCGGGAAGCGTTTCGTTCGGTGGTTCGATTCGCGCGACGTGGTCCGGTCGATGACTATTTCGAATCAGGTGTTCGCGCGGAACGCTGAATTTGTGATGATTCTTTAAATGAACGCCCGTGATTCGTTGATTGAACAGTCTTTGAATGCCCAGTTGGCGGTTTCTGAAAGGGATCTACCGAGTTGGGAGGGACTGAAACGTTCAATTTACGAATCATGGTGTTGTGACTCTTCCAACTTGAGGGAATATTTTTTCAGAGTTAGTAAACTGTGGTCTTTAAATCCCCAATTGACGTTTTCACCAAGTTCTAAGAACGATCCCCCAAGTTGGGAGAGAAATTTCAATTTACGAATCGCGGTGGTCTGTTCCTCTCAACTTGGGGGAATATCTTTCCAGAGTTAATAAACCGTGGTCTTTAAACCCCCAGTTGACGTTCTTTCCCTACTCTAAGAGGGATTCACCAAATTGAGAGAGACAGAAGCATTCAATTTACGAGTCACGATGTCTTGACCCTCCCAACTTGGACGAATATCTTTCCAGAGTTAATAAACTATGGTCTTCAAACCCCCAGTTGCTATTTTCACCAAGCTCCAAGAGGGATCTACTAAGTTGGGAAGAATAGAAACGTTCAATTTACGAATCACGGTGGTCTGTATCCCTTCCAACTAGGGGGATTCCCCTTATAGCCCCATAAAAACGCCAACTGGGGATTCAAAGACCACAGTTCATTATCTCTAAAAAGATATTCTCCAAACTATGCTACTCACCGCGTTAAATTATTTAATAATTCAATAATGTAATAGTGCATGATGAATATATAGCATTGCATTCTAATCAGATGTAATGAACCGTAAATTGAGTGGCACTGAAATTGTAAAACACGATGCTTTGTGGAAACATCGTTGTGCTTTATTACATAAATGTTTAAAAGAAAAGAACGACAAAACAATGTTTTATTTAGAGGATTAATTTCGATGGCGAATAACGCAAGCTAGAGTTAGTAATTTTTTGGAATTTTTTATTTCATTCTGTGAAAATTAAATTTTTACTGGGTCGTTAAATCAGAATAAAAAAGTAATTACCAGGTTCAAAGATAAATTGCGATGATGACCTTAGTGTTCGTCCCAGAGCCTTGGTATTCTTCCTTGAGGGATACAGTAATTTCAGCTTTCGAGCGACAGTTTTTACATTGGATTCGAGCGACGGAGTCATTCCCCACTGATTATGTTTAATCAGCACGACCCGTCGACTTGCGCGGACGTTTTTAGACGAAAACGACGGGGAAAAACGAGCGTGATGAAATTTCATTCTAAAAATGAAAATACATCGTACAAAGTATTCGAAATACATGGATGTTTTTTATGAAAATAAGTTCAAACGCCATGCTGCTCAGAATTTTTAATTATAAATAGTTGGAGGCAAACAAATCTAACAACGTAAAATTAAAAATGTTGTAAATATTTTCATACATGATGTAATAAAAACATTTCTAGTGTACATTGTCAGTGTGATTTAAGTACACAACAAATGAGATTTTATTTAATTTTTTCGTTATTAAAAATACAATTATCATTAAAATTTATTTCAAATATTCTGTAAAACATTTACAATTTTTTTCAAAATCTAATCAGGTCTTGAGTTTAAAATATATATTATTCGTTTACAGAAATACTATTGCATTACTTATTTGATTAGATAGAATATCAAAAATGATTTCCTCAAAATTCTAATATTTAAAAAAAAAATTACTGCAAAAATTATAGTATTGTGGCAATTCCAAATATAGAATATTAACAGATAAATGAATTAAAAGCTTAATATCTATTCGAAGATTATACAATATCGAATTACCAATTATATTATATTACAAACTTCATACCTGTAACTTGAACCTTAAAGATGAAGTTCTATGGTATTAATTAATTTCAAATTTAATCAAACAATAGTCATACCTGCAACTGAGAGAAATTTGCGTATATCAATTACAAAATTAATTGAGACATGTAACAGATACATTTATGGTTCCAGTAATTAATTACAGTTAGGTAATTAATATGAACCTTGTAAATTTAACAGAGCAAAATTACAATTTAATAAAGTACTTCCCGTTTAATATTAATATTGTTAATATGCATAGAAGTTTTTTTTCTACTCTAATGTAATTGACAACATTTTCATTCTCCTCGAACTATAATTTAATAATAATTAAATTGAATAACTATTTCCGTAGTTTTAAAGGATAAAACCTAATATTAATATATTTTTCTTGCAATTTGTATAAAAATTATGTTGTAGATGATTCTCTTTTATTATTCTAAACATTTAAAATGAAATTTGGAGAGATTACAATGAAAATGGAATACTGTCCAAGCACACATTTATTATAATTATTTTTATACCCAAATATTCGTTTAAACATAAGAAAATATTTTACGATAAATTGACTCGAAAGTTCATATTACCTCGCTTAATCGTTGAGGGCTAGTATTTATTAACATTCCTTTATAATTCAACACATTTCGAAAATAACAGGTTTCAGATTTCAATATTTTAAACCCATGAATGATA